GATACAGTATGTGTACAGGTTACTCAGCACGAGCGGATACAGTATGTGTACAGGTTACTCAGCACGAGCGGATACAGTATGTGTACAGGTTACTCAGCACGAGCAGATACAGTATGTGTACAGGTTACTCAGCACGAGCGGATACAGTATGTGTACAGGTTAAAACAGCATCCCATAATAACGGGGGTGTCCTGATGGGTATGTACTAACACGCACACGTAGCATTAGTGTGTGATCAGAAATACATTTCTCTACACTTTCTGTGTCACCTAAGATTCCATAATTGACATCTATTATGTTTTTCTAAATGTCTGTCTTTTTGGAGAAACGGAATTTCATAATATAAGTGTTGGAATATTGGAATAAGTTGTTCACCTCCTATATCAAGCGCTATAGAGAAATAACTGAACATTTCACAATTTTTCTCACAAACTTGGGATGGCTGCAGTAATCCTGAAGGACGATACTGGAACTGTAAGAATTTCAAGATTCAAGATTCAAGATTCTTTGCTGCCTTTTGTACTTCAGCACAAAGGAATTCTTACTTGTGCCATCCAGTCAGTAACATCTAATATAACAAAACTGGACGACAGGAAACAAAGACACTCACAAGACATGACATCATCGCTCAGCCGCCCCAGGACGGCCCTCTGACATACAGTAAGAACAGAGAGAATGCGACAGGCTGACGACAGATACCTTTGAGGTATGTTTTGTTACAGTCAGCTTCCTACAGGCCATTTCTTCCTGTTTGGGATAAAATGGAGTGTTTGCCGAGTATAAACAAGGTCACTGACATGGCGTATGTCTTGAATAGGAGGCAGGGACGGCGATGTAAAGAGGAGGCGGCTGTCTCGGGGAGTCCATGCCGCGGAGTCGGCGAAGTCCAGCCGTGACGCCAGGTTGCCGTTTACCACAAGGACGCCGGCGCCGAGACTGTTTACAAGGCGGGTAGGGCGGGGGTAAGGCGAGACGCCATGGAGAGAAGTCGCTGAGACTGGAGTGACACCTTGCACTATTAAATTGAAAATCAGAACCCCCACTTCCTGACAATGCCGATGGGACCCCCCCCCCCCAGTCACCAGCTATGATTGAATTAATTCTCACCTTGGCTTGCCGGCTATCATTTCACTGACCATGGCAGTAGATGTTTGCCAGGTGGGGGACCTTAAATGACACTCTGCCGATTTCACAAACTGCTGTTCAAGTGTAGCATTAAAAGACATCCTTATAAATAACATTTATTTCTTATTTTATAGACTTATAATATGTTGTGTTGTGTTTCAGAAAAAGAAACCTACATTTCCACTAAGGATGAGCAAATTTTGTATTACTGAAATTTCTCCTGCATTTTTAGTAACAAATTTCAGAATAAAATAATGAAAAACAATGACACGATTCCTCACATCTGTCAGTAACACAGTGTCCGTTAATGGTAATCCAGGCTTCTAGTGTTTCAGCAGCTGGAAACGTGTAAACTTCGTGCCTTTCTTTCATTTTATTTTGGGAAACATCATCTTGCCTTGGAGGAGCTAAGCCGTCCTAATTTCGGCTGACTGTGATCCACCGGGACGCGGAACACCTACATGGTATATAAGGTGAATTTGGAGCGGCGTTTAAAAACGTCTTTCTCCAACCTGACCTGTTAACATCGTTTACATATTTGCAGAGAGGGCAGTACGGGGTTATACCGAACTCTCAAATGCACCATTTATTAACGCGTCCTAATGACACTAGTAATGTTTCCTGCGAAAGTGTAACGCTCCAAACTGGCCATTAAATGTGGTTCCCGCTGGGAATAAAACACCAGTTTCTCAGCACTAGATTTTCCCAGCCCCGCTTCTTCTACGCTCACAAACGACTCGATTCATTTGCCTTTTAACCGGGCAATTAGTTTTACTGCTCCCGATGTTTTTACTTAACACTTGTAACTGGACATAAATTTTTAAAGTATTTTCTTATGACCTGAAATTAGTAGACTACACGCTAATATCTTACCAAAAATGTATTTAGTGTGCGCTTTTTATATGCTTTTTCTGGTAGGCCTGTATTTGTAATAGCCTATTTTGTTTTACGTATTTTGGTCACTCTCGTAGCACAAAGAAACCCCAAATGAATAACAGTATCGATTACTACAGGCTCATGATTACTACGTACGCGTGTGATATCGGTATTACCGTTTCCCATCATATCCAATTTTCTCAAGAAAAACACCGTATAGGCCTACGTACAATTTGACATTCATGTACGAGGAAGGCAGATTGTGCAGAATATGGAGCCTTACAGCGATTTTACAGGCATTAAATCATATCTTACTTAATATAAAGAAAACCTACTGTGTGGATTACGTGAGAGACATATCAGTTTGGATTTAACTCTCTTAGACTGATGTGAGAGATTTTGCCACTGAGATGAAAACAGTAGCTCAGAATAAAAACAGTTCGCGCTGCTGTATTCTCTCATATAGCCTACGTCAGCCCCCCCCACATTGTTAATCGCCGAAAACAATTATATGCAATTACTACCCGTATGTGTTAATTTCGGACTGCGGTGCTCTTAGTTTAAGCAAAACATTTGCTCACGTTGCATGTGAAAAGCAATACCTGTTAATTTCTTGTGCGCGGCTTTCTTAATTGTGTCCTGATTGCTTAGAACTGAGCGCATACTGTGCAATTTTGTTGTTTTCAAGGGTATTGCTACACGTCAGCCTATTCGCAATCTACATGCTGTTATGCTCCTTAAGTTCAGCTCCGTTTGTCGCCGAGCGCCGTAATGTACTTTCCGCTCTTTTTGCGGCAGAATTGCTAAGACAGCGAAGACGGCACGGTTAGCTATACCAAAGCATTTCACGGTCACTTCCCAGCTTTAAATAAAAAAAAAAATACAATTAAGCGTTTTACTTTTTTAATAAATGGATTTTGTCGTTTTAAAAAGCATACATCAAAAATACTTAGTCAATTAAATGCCTCAATATTATTATTCATATGTTAATATAATATGTATTATTTATGTAAATAAGGCTTAAAAATTACCTTCCCTGAAAAAAAGCTCTTTCTGATTTTAGTGGAATCAATTACTCTGTTAATTATATTTACCAATTTGAGACAATTCAGAATGACACAAGTTGCACAACAAGGTGTGAAGGAAAGGACATTAGGGAAATAGAGCAGCCCCATCGCACATCCCAGACGGCCTCCACGCTGGGCCTCATTTACGCTGAGCGAGAGGGACACAATGGCGGTGCGGTGGGAAAGGGGGGTGGGGGTAGGCCTGCGTGTGTGTTTTATGCTGTGTGTGTGTATGTGTGCATGTATATGTGTGTGTGACTGTATAGTTGTGTGTGTGTGTATGTGTGCATGTATATGTGCGTGTGTCTGTAGCTGTGTGTGTGTGTGTGTGTGTGCATAGAGGGGATCCTCCGTTCTTCCTGTCTCCCCACTCTGGCATCCTATGTTAAATTAATTGCAGAAACAAAAGCATTCATATTTACCCTTGCATGTCAAGGATTACTCGTTCCATTGAGCGTCCCC